GTGAAAACAACAAATAGACAAACGTATTCTACCAGGGATGCAGACCTGTTGTCATTTACAGAATTAAGTAGGCTGTAAGCCAAGTAATATAAAAGTGATCGAGCGTCTGAAACTGACAGTGCATATTTTCAGTATGTATTTTTAATAAGCAATGCATTATTTCATTTAACATTACTTTTAGTTATATTTTCTCTATAAAAGCAATTAAAAGAAAAGCAAGCCAAAAGAAAAGAAAACAGAGAAGAAAGCATTTTCCATATTCAGGGTCTTTGCTCTTTCAGTTACAACTATTTTGTTTAATTGGGTGTTTTCCATATTCCTCGGTAGAGAACATTTTTTTTTTATTCTGTAAGTTGAATGAGGGGGACATTGGGTCCCCTTGCCATTAAACAATAATTGTAGTAATATGATTAAAGTAACAGTTTCTCCAAAGGTTGATAAAGGAAAAAACTTTAAAGAAACTATTTCACCAATTCTAATGCTGTGATTGGGCATGAAAAAGTATTCTACAAACCGTTTTCTTGTTATCAAAGAAGTCACTTGAATGACCCTTCTTTTTTCCTTTATCTGTGACAGGGGCTTGCTCTGTCACCTGGGCTATTGTGCAGTGGTGTAACCACAGCTTACCTTGACCTCTTGGGCTCACGCATTCCTCCCACCTCAGCCTTCCAGATAGCTGGGATCACAGGTGCACACAATTATGCCCAGCTAGTTTTTTGTTTTGTTTTTATTTTTGTAGAGATGGGGTCTCACCATTTTGCTGTAGTCTTGAACTTTTGGGCTCAAGGGATCCTCCACTTTGGCCTCCCAAAGTGCTGAGATTACAGGCATAAGCCACTGCACCCAGCTGAGTAATTCTTGTTAATTATGCAAATATAATGCAAATAGGAACCAGAATCTTCCAAACTGGGTGTGTGTGGGTGGGGGTTGGCTGGGGGCTCTGTGACTTTGTGATAAATACTCCCTATCTAGGAAATCTCAGAACCCTGGAAGGAGGTAAGAGACTGATTAGCATATATACCCTAGGGGGTTTTTCTGTGGTGGTCAATCAAACTTCACTACTATTCCCCCAATTTGGGGTATGTATTAGCCTGTTCAGGCTGCCATAATGTAATAACACAGACTGGGAGGATTAAACAACAATTTATTTTCTCATGGTTTTGGAGGCTGGGAGTCTGAAATCAAGGTATCAGCAGACTTGGTTTCTAGTGAGACCCCTCTTCCTACCTTGCAGACGGCTGTCTTCTTGCTACCTCCTCCCCTTACTTTTTCTGTGTGTGTGAGAACTTCTGATAATGTGGTCGTCTTCTTACAGGGATACCATTTCTATTGGCTTAGGGCTCTCTCCTTGTGATCTCATTTAACTGTAATTATTTCCTTAAAGATTATACCTCCAAAGAGATTAACATTGGAGATTAGGGCCTCAGCATATGAGTTTTCGGGGAACACAGTTCAGTCCATAGTGGAGTGGATTAGGGTGGCTATAACAAAAGTCTGCTGTCAGAGAGAAGACACCAAGGGAAGATTTCTGAAAGGCAGATAAAGCCAGGACTCAACAGTGAGGCCTTTGGGTTTAAGAGAGAGGGTTTTCCTCAGCCCTTGTTCTTGAATCTAAATCCTCTGGGACCAGATAGCATTCCGTGGGGTCCTGCTCTGGGAAAGAATGACTAAAGTGAGATGTGAGTGTTGATTAAGTGAATGGAACCCTGCAGCCTAAGGTTGTATAGGAGCAGAAGCTGCTTGGGTGTCACCTTAGTGCAGAAAGCGAATTGATTTTCTTATGAAGGAAAGGTTTTCAATAGTGACACCAAAACATAGCAGCAAAGCTGGGATTCCAGTGATCTAACGGATTTCCTGGCTCCTCTAGATCCTGGAGAATTTGGGGGGATAAAAGAAGGTCTCAAAAGGAAGATGCTTTACTTGAGGCAAAATTGGGAAATTTTAACCCAAACTGACAAATGAGGGAAGAACACAGAAGAACAAACACATAGAAAACCCAGAGAAGGAGGCATCTCTTTTGCTCTGAAAGGCCAGTTAAGGCCTCTTGCCTTAATAAACATGGAAACATCCAACAGATGGAAAATGAGAAGAGAGGATAAGCCATTCCAGCATCACAGGCACGGGGAGCAAGACCCACACGGCATCATATGGAGGGTGAAATGGGGTTAGGGGTGAGATGAGGGCTTGCATTACACTCAGGCAATAGGCTTTTAAGAAATTTGGGTAAAATGAAAAGTGTCAACATCATTAGTAAGTATTTGTGTTCACTGTGAGAATGCATTGAAAGTGATGAAGGAAGTACTTTGCTTCCTCTGAGCAGTATACAGCAAGTAAAAGCAAGAGTTTTTTTATGGTTATATATGCAAAATGAACTACTTATTATTCTATAAAGAAAAAAATGCTCCGTGCATTGTGAAAAAATATTTTATTATATGTAACAATTATTTTTATATTCTACATTAAATTTTAAAATAAATACGAGATTTTAAAAAGCTCTCAACTACATACAATGCACTTTTTGGTATCTTTGACATACTGGTGTGGATAATAGAAAAATGTTTGATTATCAAGAACAAGTAGACATTTTTGAAAAGCTCAAATTATTCACTTATAAAAAAATCATAATTACAATTATGTGGCAAAATTAATTTCTTATAAAATAGCTTTACAGAAAATGGAAATAAATTATTTTAGGAACTCACATAGCTTAAGGGTAATATTTCACGTCAATAATTCATGATTAATATATAGTGAATATTTTAGCACATTTTAAAATTAAAAAAGAGATTGTTAGTCAATTCAGCTTTCTGGGTTTGACTCGTTCTTTACCTTTAAGCATGATAAGACAAAAAAAAACATTAAATGTCAGATATTCAAATTCAGTAAAATGAAGATGGCATTATATGTAACTGTTATAAAAATTCATGAAATATTTCAACCATGGTTTAAAATTACTGAAATTAATAATACTCCTAATTTCCTTTGGGCTTTTAATACTAAACCTATAGAATTCAGGATATTTCTTCCAGTTAGGCTCATTGATAGTCATTTTCAGAAATCTTAAATCATTCCAATAAAAGGACTTAAAGGTAAACTTAGTAAATCAGAGGCCCTAAAGCATTTATTTTTCAGAGTGTTATTCTTTTGAAATGATTAAAACAGAAAACAATTATCTAGGATTAATGTTGAGGTCATAAAGTTCTACTTTTTGGAAATGCTTCCCCTTCTGTGATCTTTTTGGCATTCTCTTTTTCGTTCATATCTCTTGTATCTAATATGTATTGACAGTTTACTGTGTGCCAGTGCTGTTACAGGCATGGGAGATGTAAGAGTGAATAAATTCTTATTGTTTTCCCCGTAGTAACTTTAGGGGTACTATTATCATCTTGACCTATCAGGAAACTGAGGCATAAGAATGTTAAGGAACTTGCTTAAAGTCACACAGCAGATAATCCTGGAATCAAAATTAAGCAGCCTGGACTCCAGAGATTGTGTGTATGTCACCATTTCATTTCTGTTTTTCATACAATGAGCTCTTCTTCATTGTGGCGCTTATTATTTGCTACCATATTTTGAAGTTCCCCTACCTAACTGGAGTTCTTTTTCCTTTCCTAAAATATAAGCAAGGAGAAATAGAATTTATTTTTTAAGTCTGTTGATTAAGTTTAATTTATATTTTAATAAAATTTTGGGAAATGTTTCTTTTCCAACACACAACTTTTTGGTTTCTGTGCTTAATTCATCATATATGTGTCTTCATCCTGGAAAACACAAAATAATCTTAATAATCTCCACCATTCATCAAGTACCCTGACTCCAGTCACTGGTGTTCAAAACTCCAAAGAACATTGGCTCCAGTCCCAATATGTAATCCTTATTATTTATAGCTAAGGATGTTAAGTGTTAGAACCATTAAATGGTTTACCTGGTTTCATTGCTAACAGAGGACAAAGTCAGGCCTGACCTTACTGCTTCCCTTTGCAAATCTTCCTATGTGAAGAAGCCTTCATGAGGGAGAGACTGACCAAGGTCAGAAGTCAAATCTCAGGAAAGGAAGGTAGAGGTAATGGGAGACAGAATCTTAGATGAAAATTGCTTTCAAATTCTGCTGCTTCCATTATGCTCAGTAAATTTGCACAAATTACTTAACATTTCTGCCTGTCAACTTTCTATCTCCACAATGAGAGTGCTATATACATGCTTCCTAGGTTTTATATAAGTGAATTAATGAAATGATTGTTTGACCCTAAGTGTTGTGTAAGCAGTATAACCATGACATCATCATCATCGTGATCCTTATTTTGTATCCAGATTTTTTGGGGGTCTAAAATTTTGCTTCAACCCTTGTGTCTTCTTCCTTATATTTTTTAACTTCTGAATAGCCAAAGATATAGCAAATCAGTTTATATCTATGTTGTTAAAAAAATCAAGGTCTTTTATTCGATTCAATGTCCTTGGTTACAATAAAATGACAGTAGCTTCAGTTCAAGTTGAAGTGCTAAAATATTTCAGATTGAAAAATATAATTTAGGCATGTGCTCCTTATGTTCAGCTTCATTCTGCAGTGGATTTGAGATAAATAATAAAAAACATAAAATATAAAATAATGGAATAAATTGTTAAGGCAGATAAAAGAAAACATGGACAGGAAATGGCAGTGACAAGAATGATATAATTGCATGGGTAGCTAAACCATAGAGTCCAAGATAGTTGCTTAGAATGGGCTGAAAATATAATCTTAAGGTTCCTTGCAGCCAGCGTTTGCAAGCCTGCCCTTATATTCACTTTTTTAATTGATCAACATTATAGGTAACTTTATATGTATTATGTATACAAACCGTCTCTCTCTATATAAAACTACGTGTGTGTGTGTGTGTATATATACATATATATATATATACACATACATACATATATAGTTTTTATAAACTAAAAGTATTTGTTTATAAAAACACATATAGAATATATTTATAAAATCACATTTCTATAGTATGTGTGTGTGTGTGTGTGTGTGTGTGTATAAAACTTTTGTGTTATATGCTCTTCAAAGGAAAGAAAGGATGATTACTTTTAATGTTTGGTTATTAGCAGTTTTACAATAATAGCAATGTTGAATCCAAACTTGCAATTGAAGAAGAGTAGTTCTGATTAACTCAGGACAAAATATTTATTCGTTTATCTCTAAACAAACAAACGAGCAAAAAAATAAATAGCTAACTGCCAGATCTTATGATTTTAGTGTTCTTCATGTGTAGGTGGCCTTAGGTGGCTTCTTTTTTTTTTTTTTTTTTTTTTTTTTTTTT